TCTCATTAATCCACTGAATTCAAATAATGAACTTGTTTACGTAGCTATGGTCAATAAAAAATTTAGCAATCTCATAGTTACATACCAAACTTTTAATAAAGAATTCTGTTTTGACAGATGGATGAGGAACATTTTTCTCACCCAGTTGTTAAAACAGAATTGATAGAATTGCACCTGTTGTGCTCCGAATTCCTCGATTAATTAACTAGTGTCTAGAAGAAGAAGACGTGCTTTTTATAGTGAGCTAAATCAATAAAAAAGGTCTTCTTCTTCCAAACACTACTTATCAGCAGCTAAACACTGATAATTTGGCTCAGATTTAAATTTCGGCGAACTTTTGGTTTGGTTTATTTGAATGTGGGAAACCACGCTAGGGGTATCTGCTTAAGGGAAGGGATGCCTTCGTAGAAATTGTTCAAAGAAAAACTGGTTCGCAACCATGCTTTACATGGGGAAAACCACTCTTTGAGGATAAGTTAACTAGATGGAAGTGTTTTTTTTTTTTTTTTTTTTTTTTTTTTGGCCTTCCCCACGTGTAACGTGAATACGAACCAGGTTTTTTTTTAAACATTTCTCCGAAATCATCTCTCCCCTTAGGTAGTTAGCCTTCAAGTACTGTATCATAATCTAAATAATGTAATCCTCGCAAATACTACTGCACTTTTGGGCACATTGTAAAAACTGAAAATGAATATATATTTTTACTGTCCGTATACAAATGTTATGACAATTAGGCTATCAAATCCAATCAATATTCACGCCTTTTATTTATTTGCCATCAGGGAGATGGATACTTCTTTGAAAGAATATTAGATGAGAATAGTAACGTCTGTTTTCCAGAACACTGACACATTTGATTCAGTTTAATTCAATTTTTTAAGATTCTTAATTAAAATTTAAGGCCTTCATTAAAACATACATTTGACAGCTTTCTATCATTAAACAGTTTTCAAACAATGTAGCCAAAAAAAAAAAAAATAGTCGGATAAATTTATGGCCGACAATTTTCGAGGAAAACTCGTTGTTAGGTAGTGCACAAAAGGTTCCTTTGAATCAAGGTATATATTATACAGCGTTCCATATATCGTTTAATAAATAGAATTACAATAATGCTGCAGATTTTTAAATGTAACAATTAGTTATGTTATAAATTAAATAAATTTTAAATTATATCCTTTAGATACTTAATTCTAAATATAAAAATTATAAATTTATATTATTGAAAAGTGCATTTATTATTTTTAAATCTCTTGCATTGTTACGCAATACAGTTATAATTTGAAAGACAAATTAAAAATACTGTATCACGTCGACTGACTATACTCTGAAAAAGAGATATTTGCAGTGACAAATAGAGGAAAAATAAGGATATTTTATATCGTGCAATGACAATATTTGCAAGACTGCATGGTTGATAAATGAGATGGTAGTGTAACGTAATAAAATGATCGAACAATTTAAAATGACTTCGCTAAATATGTTTTTAATACTAAGGAGTAGGCGAAGAATGACGACAACTTGGGTAACAAGAAAAGTGATCAAAATCCTTAATTTTATTACTTCTCTGTTTTGCATTTAATGTGTTCATTTAAAAATAATATCTTGAAAAACTGATGTACTTCATTTTAAGAGTAACGTTTTTATTAATACGTTGAATTCAAAATATCATTCTTATCTGGGCTGCACTAAATTTACATTTTCATAATTACCAAACTACTGGAAATTTAAGCGCATTTTACCGTAAGAAAAATTTAAAACTCACTTTATTTTACTGTAAAATAGGTTATTTTACAGTAATAGGATACCTTTATGATATAACAGAACTAACATGTGAATTTTTAAATTTTTCCCGAGTTCGTAATCTTGCTCAAATAAAAAAAATGAAAACAGTTTTGAAATATATTTCATGTACGTATAATAAACTGTACTAACTGTGAGCAGGCGGGCAACGTTAAATTCTTTTGGCTTCAAAACAATTTATTTTCACCTCTTTTAAATTAGGATGAACTTTTTTTAAAGGTCCGTGTTTTATATTGAACTGGCGCTTTTTCATCGCATTGACAAGAAATCAGTCTACCATTTTATATACAATGATAAATTGTATGTAAATGTTCAAAACAAATTCTATTGAAAGAAATTTCAACAAAAAAAAAATTATTTTTCTTGAATTATTCCGGTTGAGATGAATTCAGACTTTACGTTTACACAAAAAGAGAAGGAAAGCAGAAAAGCAGGAAAATCGTGATTGTGCGTTCCAGTGCAATTTAGATAAATAAATATTTAATCTCGTTTTGCTAACACTGCTTGCACGCCAGATATGTCAAAAATTCTTCTTTTTCAAATGAGTTTTCGCAATGTATTTAAATGTTTTATGAGATACAATTCAGTGTTTGGCAAGCTCGAAGTGCAATAAAACTAAGATTACGTAAAAAGGAGTCTTTCTCCTTTTAGTGTTTTTTTTTTTTTTTGCAATCAACTGTTTGTCACTGCTTTTAAAAGTACTATGCACATTTTATGCTTTACTAATAATGGTATACTTGTTTTATTTTGATTCTAACTCGGTTAATACATTACAATTATTCTTGCAATGATAAATACGAAGTTAATGAAATAAAATATAAATGACGTGAGTAAATGTTTTTAAATCTATGTATGATTTAAAATTTATTTGCATACTGCATACATTCAAAGTGTTATTTGCTGCATGTTCCAAAGTAGATAAAAAGTGAAACCAAAATAAATGCCGCGTATATTAATAAAAAAGGAGCTACCTGTTCTTTTTTATTAATATATAAGGATATAAATATTGTCACACTTCATTTCTTGTTACTCTTAATTACATTATAATACTCTAAGGCATTTATAGCATTACAAAGCCAATAGAACTTAGTAAAGTCATTTTCAGGGAGCCAAGATCTCTATCTTTAGGAGCATGGTTTAGACACTTAACTAGGAGTGAGTGCCACCAAAGAAGACCACTGACCTAGCCTTAGCCTCACAGTGTGTTATCTTCCTGGCAGAAATCATTTACTCTCTGTTCTACCCTGCTCCGGGAAAACAGCCGAATAGACGGCTAAGAACCTCATAAAGTCTACATGTAAGCTTGTTGTTCGGAGAAAGACTATCCTGTTAGGAGCTACTTAAAATTAAGCAAAGAAGCAATCTAAAGACTGTTAAGAATCTATGTTAGAATAGACAGAAACTTGTGTTAGAAAAAGTAAAGAAAGGAGGACTCTGCCTGAAAAAATTAACTGCCGTGTATTTTCTGGACTTGCTAAATGTCTACATGCGGATGCTAATCCTGACAGAAGTGTTATATATTTATTTGGCTTTTGTAAAGTCGTTTGTCTTGCATGAAGGAAAGAAGTAACCTATTAAATTATTGCACATAGTAAACTAAAAAAATTAAATTAAGATAAAAAAGATTAAAATAAATTCTAGTGCCCAAACGTAATTTAACGCACATTACTTTCTATGTGCCTGACACTTATGTAAAAACATTTAAAAGATTGTGTACCTGTTATCACTAAGATAACAAATTTCTGCATAATTTAGTTCTTTGCGCAAACGTAAACTGGAGTTGTTTTACAAATTGAACCATGCATCTAGATTTTCTTTCGTAGTACTTGCAGACAGGATAATACATACATAAGTACAAAACTGAATATTAAAGTGAAAAACAAACATGATACTGAGTACAGAAGTACAGAAAGCGTATCCCTAATACCTGCATACATAACGCTTAAAAATGCATGCGTAATACATGAAAACTAAAACTAAAACTGATGAACATAATACATAAATCTGATCATTAAGTAATGCTATGTAGTCTAAATCCTACCCAAGTACGAACTGACCTTCATAGTACATGCAGAGAAGTAATAAATACAGACTTGAGTACGTTGAAGGGAACATAAACAGAAACGTACAGCACCATACTCAGTATAAAACTGACATCTGATTCCAAACACTTGAATACATAATGCTGATACATAATTACAAAGAATATCTTACCTAAATTAATTCCATAGTTACTTTTATCACCTTATTCGCGTTCTACAGTTTATAGAAAAACATAATTAAGCACATACAGCTGATCACATAAGTACAGATATCTCTTCCTTAATATTTACATAAAAAGTTGAACACTTACTTAACTAAGAGTAAGATAATCTTTAACAGCTAGATAATATTTTCAGTTGAAATTCGTCTAGATTTCTCCTATAAACTGGACTGAAATTTTTATTACGGCAAAGCACCCAAAGGCTGCCCTAGGAAGAATTTTGTTGAATCCCTAAGGAATAATTGCTCATATTTACGCTATATATGGATTCTGCGCTACGTATAAATTTGAGAGAAAGTTCAGTGCATCGTTCGGCTAGGATCCCATCTTCAAAATGGAAAGGCTGTGTTTATTGAATTTCCAGACAAAATTGGACTCGCTCACCAGCTTTTAAGTAATAATTCTATCATATGAGGTACCAAAACTTTCTTTTTTGAACCTTTATATTTTCGGCTGGCAAGCTTGATTTTTCACATTGATTTGTAGAATAATTAAGCATCATTATCTGTGTAATCGAGGCAAGAATTCTCGTACTATGTTCTTTTAGTTTCTGATCATGATAGACTGCAAATAATGATGCCAAAAGGCACAAAACGTAAAACCTGCGAAATAAACGTGCTATATGATATAACTTTCCTCACATGCATAAAAACTATAAAGACTATTAAATTATGACAAGTAGCCATTCTTCTGGTATCTCTCTAAAATTGTACAGTTTATAAAGGGAATGAGAAGGATAACAGTAACTGCTAAAACACATTGCTAACACAGCATACATGTAATGCATTTTATGTTTAGCATTTATGATATCCATTTCATATCTAGTATTTATGAAAAAAATGTATTTCATATCTAATATTCAAGCTGTTTAATGCATTTTATGTTTAAAATCGATCTTTTTTGTCTTACAATTGCTTGATTGAATGCTTCATTTCAGGACACTGACGGGGACTAATCTACAGATTACTTTGCTGGGTATAGAAATAAGTAATAAAAATGGCGACTTCAAACGAACTGGCACCTAATCAAGAAGGTATGTATATTTTAAACCTAATTGCAGCATAAATTTCAGGTTAAAATGCTCGCGGAATACATTTTATTGCAGATATATATATATATATATATATATATATTTATATATAGCAATATGAAAGGAAAAGAATGAAAATTGGTATTTCATGGAATGCACTACCTCAAACGAAAAACAAAACAGTAGTGTTTGATGCTTTGCTTTTGATTGTTTTTGTTTGCTTCGTTTAATAACTTAACAGGAAATTAAATATTTTCAGATCATTACATCAATTAAAGGAATAACGATTAAACAAAGTATCAATTTTAATTGAAAAATGTAGTTTCTTTCTATACTGGAATAATAAAAAAAGTTTAAAAAATGTAAGTTTGTATAAAAAATAAATCTAACTTTTTACACATGCCTCCTGTCCCTTTACTTATATTTAGGAAAACTGTATATATAAATTACAAATTTTGAAGGTCCATCCTAATTTCTCCGGGTTAATAATGTTCACTTCAAGGAGTAAAAACATATAAAAGACGCGAAATTTATACATAACAAAACCAAAAATAATAAAAGTTATAATCTCTTTTTTTTTAACGCTTCAAACGGAACTTGTGAAGGGAAAAGTATTTTGGAGCCTTAAACCAACTTGATTAATGAGTGCCGAAATCAGGTTTCGTTCCTTTGAATCCATTGAGACTCCAAACCGCTTTTTAATAATCCAACTTTGATATCAAACAAAATTTATTTAAAAGTCTACAAAAATTCAGATGTTTTCCCTACACGCCTTCGCACTCATATAATAGAAACAGCTATATATAGTTCCAAAAAAATTTAAAAATCTGAAGCAGCATAAAAAGGCTAAACGCTAACTAAATTCAAGACAAAATTTAAAATAAATTCTGATTACAGAATTAATGAATCAATTTAACTTCAGAATTAAAATATAAATTGTTCAGTCAATGTATTCATATTCTAATACTAGAGCTGGCTGATTTATGTAAAGGAAAGTATCAACTTCATTGTGAATTTAAAAAAAATTGCCAAAGGAAAATTAAAAATAGTAACTTCTGGAGCGAATCTTGTAAGTAAGGAGGAAATATTAAAATGAAAACAATGAAACTATTGAAAAAAAATCAAGCTTAAACTTCAAAAAATTTTCATGTCAGCAGTATAGTCTCAACTGTTAAAAGTATAGAGGCTAAATAGGTTGCCAGAATTTTAAACGAAACTTGAAAAAGGGGGAGACCAGAAAATAAAAAACCCTGCCACTATCGAATAGCAAGGGAACGTAAAATCACTAAAAAGGCCCGCGCTTTCTTAGTGTGAAGCAATTGGTGGATAAAACCGAATGGAGGTGGGGGTAAGGGGTTCGCACTATGAAAAGGCAACAAGTGACAACATGGCTTCGTTTTTAGATGCTTATCTTTTAAGAGAAACCATCCAAGATGGCGATGATTTAAACAATTGTGGTTTTAAAACTGGCTTTAAAGCAGAGTTAGAATGAAATAAGGGTTTAAAAATGTCGTAATTCCTCACAAAATCGAGCTATGAAAATGTCTTAAGAAATCGAAATAAGCTCTTTTGTTTAGTAAAAGAATAAAATGGCTAGAAATTCCATAAAATAAGCAAAGAATATTATTCTTTTCATTCTAACCAAATTCAAAGAAAAAAGAGAAATTTAATTACATATACACATTAAATTACTCGTAAACGTCATCCACTAGTTAATTCCTTTTCAGGTTTGGGTGGAAAATATCATTTCACATATACACAAGTAATTTAAAAAATAAAGTTAATGCCAGCTTTTATTAAAGTGTGCGAAATTGTGAACTTTGGAATTTGATTTTCTAAGAGGATATTAATAAGGTTCTGTATTTCTTCTCGAAGATTATCTTTTCATTACAAATTCTTTTGATTCTAAGAATTTGGATATTAATAGCATTAATTATAACTTTCTTGGAGATGTCAGACTTCCAACTAATGAGTTTTAAGGGGCGAAAATTTAAACCTCTTCTTCTATGATAGATTCTGATATTTTTCTAGTTTAATATTTGCAAATCAAGGTATACAATTTCTTGTCGCTTGTTTCTTTCTTGCTGTTTTCTATATATATATAAATATAACTATCAGTAAAGACATAAAGTAAGAAATTTAGAACCAGTTTTACACACAGACCAAAAATTGAAATTCATAAGTTAAAAAAAATCCTATAAATATTAAAGATTTGCACTTATATATATATATATAATGATATATTTGTACCTATGTATACTTATCAATTTCCTGTGCAAAATTTCTTTCGGTATATCAAATGTAAATGTGTACAAAATGGAAATGATATCAAATGTTACAAATTTTAAAATTAAATACCTTGGTGAATTTTCGTGACATAAACGTCAAATATTTTTTGTTTATTTTTTATAATGGATACAAAAAATTTCTTAACTGTCAGAACTAGAAGAATGTGTAAAAAGTTAGATTTCGCATTTTATACAAAATTAGTTTTTTAATTACGAAAACATGTAACTTCGAGTAGTTTGAAACATCTTTGTAATTGGCAGTAAGTGTCTACGATCGACGTTTGCTAAAATAAACGTCGGGTAAAAGGATTTTTTGTTCACGTTGTATATATATATATGTATGTATATAAAGTATAAGAAAATAACGGGGGATAAAGTTATTAATAAGTTCTCAAGTTCAAGAAGGAATGCGATGAAAATATACTTAAGTGTCAGACAGCTTCCTTAACTTCAGATAGAGTGTGAGTTAATTAGTTTATATTTCGGAGCACTTCAAGTGCACGTATGAGGCAATAGGAAGGATAAATTTGTCGAAGAATCTAAGTATGGTTACAGCAAAAGTGAGGAAGAGAAAATTAGAAAACAAAAATAAAAGTGTGTTCTTGGGAAATAAACGTGCTTTGTTAGAAGAGTTTAACCATATTATTCGAAGTTACGAGCATTATGAGGTACTTTAATCCCTGGGTCTTCTTAATCAAGTATGCTTTAATACCTTTCATATTTTTAAAATGCTGTCATCCGTTTGCAGTCAACATCTCTTTAAAATAAAATCCTAATATTTTCAAAATGATTGATTATAAAACCAAATTGGTTTGAGCCATATTTCAAATATAAATTGATCATTTGTTTCGTTGCTTATTAAAGCTCACTGAAAGAAATATTCAATACTGAATTGTGACATTCTTTGCCCTTCGAGAGTATAAAAATAAAGAGTATAACTATTGCAATTGCTCGGAAAATTATACTCCAGTCTCTGAAGTCACATGCGGAATTATCTCCGTAATAATCATTCCGAAACCTTCCTGTCAGCAAAGACACATCTAGTGTCGAACGCTCACTTAATTACACATAAATATCTTTTAAAATACCTTCCCTTCTATTAATAATAGTTACAAAAAATTACCCCTTAACGAGTTTTCTCATCACGAATCAAATTCTTTTTTACCCACATAATAAAAGTTGAATCATAATTCTTTTTTGGCTAGATAATGAGGCAAGTTACCCCGTGTTAAAATGCTTAAAACTTGCAGATTTTTTCTATTTTTTTATTAAATATTGGTTTCGGATAATGTGCTGTCATTATCCGAGCTTTCCTTTTATGATAAGTGATGTCATGATTTTTTTAGCATTCATATGTATATCTATCTGCATATATATATATATATTATACGAACGCTAAATTAATAGATTAAGCCATTTCTTTATTCACCTTGTAAGAATATTGATAAAAAAGTATAGAAAAGATGAGTTAAGTTTCATTTGAAGATTCAAGAATGTTTTGTATTATTCATCTCGTTAATTTAATTTATAAAAGATCGATGTTGAAAGAAAATTTTCGTCGACAGTGAGAAGAAATCGACTGAATTCTGGAAAACTGATAGGGGAATAAAATTTGTTCCTTTTAATTTATATAGGTGTAAGGCGTTAACATCTTTGTGAAAATAATTTCTGAATTCTTCCAAAATGTTATAAAATGGCTGTTTGAGATGATATAGGGAAACAATAGAAGTTATTACGAACAGGAATGTGATATTAATTGATAATAAAATACATTAGATGATTTATAAAAGCTACAAATGCAAAAAATAGCGAAGTAGTATAAAACATTAATGAGAGGCTCAACAGAAAGGTTTTATAAAAAATGCTAAAGCATGAATATTTTTATTTTAATTTGAATACTAAAAAATAATTATTTGACAAAATTATAAAATTCAAAATGGTACTTTCTGTGCTGCATGATGTCTAATAATTCTACTCTCACACTTTGATGGCTATTATCTATAAAAGGTATGTTGCAATCTGCGAAGAAATCATACAAGTACATATATAAACATAAAGATATCTCGCATAGACTGCTTTGATTGTCACTAGCGTCCGATTAAAAAATTTCATAACAAACTAAATTTTAACTAACAAGATGAAAATAAATTAAAAAAAAAATAGCACACAAAAAAATTTTTAGGCTTAAACGTCTGGTCGTTTAAATTAAAAAAAAATAGTACACAAAAACATTTTTAGGCTTAAACGTCTGGTCGTTTAAATTTAAAAAAAAATAGTACATTTTTAGGCTTAAACGTCTGGTCATTTTCCTTCGCTCATAATCAATTCTCTTATTGTGCGGTTTATGTTTACGCTGTTTAAAAAATAATGCTATACAATACATATTTGAACTTTTACTAGAATTGCTCAGTTGTGTGTGCCATGTGCTCGAGTCGTTCGTCATTGAGCTCTGAGAGCTATTGCTAGAGCAGAAAATACGTCTACTTTAATGTATTGGAAGAACTACAACGTTTAGAAATGCTATCGAAATTATAGGAAAGCCAGAAGTGTATTAACGGCAAGAAATGTGAAGGCAGTAAGAAAATATATCATACCACTTTATGCAAATTATTTTATTGGTTTTGAAATTGCTCAATTTTGCTGAAGTCATAACATAAAGAAAAGTAGACAAAAGTTTGGTTTCTCTGAGTTAGAATACAATACTGAGAAAACACT